GCTATTTTCAATTAGAAAAAAAAAAGAGCAAGAAAGCTGTAATTGAGCAAAAAATAATGGAAGCAGAAGGAGAATCTTCCTCAGTCTGTATGTTCATGGAAAGTGAACAGATGAGAAAGTTTTATAGGTCACCTGTAAGACTGATTAAGCAGGAGATCCTCCTGTCTGGTTACTTCATGGCATTGTGTTTGCACACAAGCATCCTCAAACTACCCATATATCCAGAGAGAACCATGACCTAAGGTCACTTTTAGGCTATTCTTAATTGTATAGCTCATTCACAACAGTGGTGAGTCAATGTTGTGTGTTCCTGACTCATCTTCGGCGTATCTCTTTCTGTGCTGGCTTTCCAAGGCTGCCATGCAGTCAAGTGAGAAGGCAGTTAGTGTAGAGCAGCTCATCTGTAGTAGAGAGGCTTCTCCTGGCCAGCTCCTTCCTAAAATACATCAGAATACTGTGACTATTTGATTCATGGAGGAATTGAAAGGAACCTGATGAGCTCAGAGTCACTGAATGAAAGATGAAGCACAGTTTAAGGCTGAGGATGTTTTCCATCTCTGCAGAGCTTTCCTTTGGAAGTTGCACTTGAAAGATTTTATTCGTAGAATCAATTTCAGATTTTTGTAGTTCTGCCTTTAGTTTATGGATGCTGGTGGGCAAGGACAACCGGAGTTTCATAGTCTCATAGTATGTTAAGGGGTTGGAATGGACCTTAGAGATGATCGAGCCCCAACCCCCTGCCCTGGGCAGGGACACCTCCCACCAGAACAGGTTGCTCAAGGCTTTATCCACCCTGGCTGTGAACACTGCCAGGGTTGGGGCAGCCACAGCCTCCCTGGGCAACCTGTGCCAGTGTCTCACCACCCTCACGGGAAAAACTTCTTCCTAATATCTAAAGTTCCTCTCTTTGAATGAGGGGAAATTTAGATTAGATATTAGGAAGAAGTTTTTCCCGTGAGGGTGGTGAGACACTGGCACAGGTTGCCCAGGGAGGCTGTGGCTGCCCCAACCCTGGCAGTGTTCACAGCCAGGGTGGATAAAGCCTTGAGCAACCTGTTCTGGTGGGAGGTGTCCCTGCCCAGGGCAGGGGGCTGGGGCTAGATGATCTCTAAGATCCATTCCAACCCCTTAACATGATGTGAAACACACTATCTATTACTATGGTGTCCTGAGATTCCAGACTTCTCTTCTGATTCTGTAGGAAAATAGAATTAACATAGTTCAGATGTGGGAATTTCAACCAGCAACATGTAATTGGAACCTGCTTATAAAGAGAGTTTGTAGAGTTCCTTAATGCCTTCATGGAACTGGGAAAGAACAAGTTTATTCCAAAGTATATGGATTCTGCAGGGATCTTCTTCTCGTCTTCTCACTAATGTTGCTGGAAACTGAGGGTATCCTTCACCAGCCATGTGAACTTTGAGGCCCGCTATGTGCTGGGCTCATCCCACAGAGTGGGCAGCAGCTGGGGGGGGATTCTGCCCCTCCGCCCTGCTCAGGTGAGACTCACCTGCAGTGCTGCCTCCAACCCTGGGACACCAACAGCAGAAGGATGTGGAGCTGCTGCAGGAGTCCAGAGGAGGCCATGGAGATGCTGCGAGGGCTGCAGCACCTCTGCTGTGGGACAAGTTGAGAGAGCTGAGGGTGTTCAGCTGGGGAGAAGAGAAGGCTCCAAGGACACCTTAGGGCCCCTTCCAGTGCCTAAAGGGGCTCCAAGACAGCTGGAGAAGGACTTTGGCCAAGAGCCTGGAGTGACAGGACAAGGGGGAATGGCTTCCCCCTGCCAGCGGGCAGGGTTAGATGGGGGATTGGGAAGGATTTGTTCCCTGTGAGGGGGGTGAGGCACTGGCACAGGTTGCCCCATCCCTGGAAGTGTTCCAGGCCAGGTTGGATGGGGCTTGGAGCAGCCTGGTGTAGTGGAAGATGTCCCTGCCCATGGCAGGGGAGTGGAACTGGATGAACTTTAAGGTGCCTTCTAGCTAAAACCATTCTGTGATTCTGTGATGATGATTCACTGTGGTGGAAGAGCTTTACTTGCTTTAACTTAATATTTATGCTAAATAGCTGATATATCAGCCTGTTTATAGCAGGCCTGTGTTACTTGCAGCAATCTTTCACACACTGGTGGTCAGGCTGTCAGCATGTTCATCTGAACTGTACAGATCAAGTTAGATAATTAAGATGTTATCATGAGATGCAGAGGTAAAATCTTTCTGAAGAGTAGTTATCCATTGCTGCCTTCCACGATTAATCTTTTTTTTTTTCTTCTTAGAATATCAGTGGAGCATAACAACAAAATGTCTGTCTGCCTATTAATTCACAGTTAGACATCAGAGGAAAAGGACACTCCAGAAGGCCTTTCCTAATTTTGTTCCCTCCCCTCTCAGATGGAGTTGCACACAGAAAGCAAATATTCTATGTAGGTCACTTAGCTCCAAACCTCACAGCAGGGTGTGGAATGTAGACATGGGGATTAGTTTATCTCTGTTGGTACACACCGAGGGCTGCTATCATCACAGCAGCTTCTTGGTCTAGGCTGTGGTGCTTTGCCTCCAAAATATTCCATGTTTTAGTAGCCCTACTACTGTGTGAGACGTGGCTCTGACCTCATGTCTGTCCTGGTGTCACTTTTGCTGCTCTTGTTACCTGTTCTGCCTTACTTCTCTCCAGTGAAGAGGATGTGGGAATGCTGGATTTGGGGCATCATGCCTCAGTAACCTGTCCTAGAGCAGCAGTTGGCACTGCAAGGATCCTTTGTGACACTTAAATCTGCCACCACAGCTGGAGATGGAGCTTTGGAGCATGTCTGGATTAAAGATGGAAAGGAGGGAATGTGTGAAAGACACAAGAAATAAACCCAACCACCATGGCAAGTGCTTAGGTCTTCTGGTGTGCAGCTCTTCTTTGGCTGAAGGACACGTGAACCTGCTGCACCTGGACACAATCTCAGTGTCAATAGTCAGTGTGCAGTGAAAAGACAAGCTTTCCAGATTTTAACTGTGTGCTGGCTTTTCTCACAGTTCAGTAAAATTACAGTCCTTGATAATTTTTATTCTTTCTGAAATACCTGTTAAACATGAGTTAATATTAAAAAGTCACTTCAGGGACGAGTCGTGCAGAGAGGTTTAAAAATTGCTGTTCTCTTTGCTAGTGTTCTTTCCGATATCTGTAGGTGCAGATGAGCAAATGGGTGGGTGTGTGGCAGCACAGAATTCAGGCATTATTAGAAAACAGTTCTTAATAAAAATGCATTTCTTCATGTCAGGAGAACCTTAAGTGAATTAATTAGGCTGGTAATAAATTGTCACTAAATGCTCAGTGGACCCCATGTGTTTTACTTAGCGTTTGAGCACTCAAATGTTTTGTACTGGGTATTCTTTGCCCCCACAATAGCAACTTTAAAATGTTTTTATTCATCCTATTTGCAGCATAAATGAACATGCCACTATTTTATTAGTGTGATTAAACCCAGTAGTGGCACATGATTTACACTGCTTTACAGGGATTCTGCATTGCAATTTAAGGAAAATGAGCTGAAATTGTTCTTTCTAGTCTGATATTTATGTTCCTGCCCCAGAGAATTTATTTTCATTGAATTGCATTTTAAGGTATTGCTAATTCTTATTCATCTGTCTATAAATTGCCACCATGTCTTTATCTTTAGTCAATTCGATACATCATCATCTAAGGAGGAGTAAAGTGTTATGTGATGGTTGATTCTGGCCTGCAGTGTTGCATTTAAATGACATTTTACATGTAGTCCATGAAGCAAAACTCATCGATTCCTGCTTTACTTAGCTTTAACTATGGATTCTCTTTTGTACACATGGACTGTGTTTCTGGAGAGATGCTCATGTTCCTTGCAGAATTCCACACCTCAGTATTGTGTGCTCACGACTAAATCCATGGCAGCACATTTAGGGGAGTTTTACATTAATATTCTTCAGTGTTAAGAATTTGTGTTGTGGCTGTGCCAAGATATCCCACAGGACTGGAATGCCAGTGTTGTCAGACAAGTACCCTGAAATGTGCAGTGCCTGTCTAGGGAAAGTAAGACTGAGTTTAATTCTGGAAAGGAGGAAAGGAGATAATGTGGAGGGATTGTCTGAATTCTGTAATCATACTTCCCAGCTCAATGGACAGTATAATTTGTGTCTGAATCCTCTGAATTAAACTGGCCAGTCCTTCCCTCTGTAGTCATTATGAGCTGTGTGAATTTTGGCTGTCAGAGTGCAGCCCTGAGGAGGGAACACTATTAGCATTAGCTGTGGGCAAAGGGACTCACAAGCCTGCTAGTAGTGCTTATTGTAATGTTCTGTCTTCTCATTCCTCCCTTAATTACACATATCCAAATGTTTACTTGGGCTTCAGTGGCTGCATAAAAATGAAATTTGTGCACTAAAGGCAGAAGATGCTCTCACCTCTTTAAATAGCTGAGAACAGTGGTATCTCTTAAGGCCATGTGGTGCTACACAGCATCATTATATGCTGATGCCCATGAAATACTGTATTGATTGTGGTTTAAGCCTGTGGAAAATCTCCCACAAAGCAATGAATGAAGTTGTCAATCCATCCTAACCTGCCCATCTGCAGTAGAATCTCTGTGGTACTTATTTTGGCATGCGACTGGGAAGGAGAAGATGAAAGAGGGAAAGATATTTTTTATACAAGATCTTATAGGGAGTTTAAGAAATGACTGTTGAAGCTGTAGAGGAAAGTATTTTCTACTGTAATTGCATTTTCTCAAAAAAATTGCCTAGCTGTAAGTTGTAGAACCTACTTGAGGTGTTTATGAAGTTACCTCAATGGACTCAGCCTCTAATTTTTCTTATGTATTGTTTTTTAGAGTTCCTAGATGAAGAGCTCTCTTTAAATGCTAATTGATTTTGTTTTAGCAAGTTGCAGTTTCAGGTAGGAAGAAGCTAAATCTGTATTAGGCAGTTATTGAAACTCAATTTATTTAATGACATGGTATTTTAACTACTTGCTTTGCTAATGTATTTATCCTGTATCATTAACTAGTCTAAGTTTTGGGGGCTCTTATTCCCTTCTATCTTTGGTGCCTATTCATTGAGTCATTTATTGTATACAACTATATAGCAATTTTTGTATATACAATATATTGTATGCATTGTATTACTGCATAAGTTCCTACAGTTATCATCCAGAAGTGTATTTGAATTCTGCTCTGCTGTTTCTGCAGTCAATTCCCCTAAGCCTGACTGGGGGCTTGGTGTTTATTAGGTAACATGAGGTTACATAGAGACAAGACCAATAATTCTCTTTCC